CTCGTTACTCATTTCTGGTACTTCTGCTGTAGAATTTTCTATTTCTGTTTCCATTTCACCTTCATTTTCTATACTATTTTCGAGTCTACTTTCTTCATTAGCCGATTCAGATGACAAGGAGTGAAATTCTTCTATTTCAGGATTTTCTATCAAGTTTTTTTCATTTTCACTCGATATATTTTCATTTTCCGTTTCACTTGTCGTTTCATCACTATTTTCTTCTTCTTCCTCAACTTCTGCTTCTTCTTCTACTTCGGCATGATTTTCTTCATTTTCCGACTCGTTTTCTGTAGTTTCCAGGGACGGCGTATTATTGTCGCGTATATCCTCCCATCATATGGTGATCCGTGGTATTTCTATACTTTATAAACAGGTGCGCTGTATCAATTTTGTAGACCTTAATGGTTCATTTTCCTCGGCGAATATATCTTTATATGTACTCAAAAACTCCTTCATTTTCTTTCTATCAGCAATTGGTAAATGTTTTAGAATTTTTCTCGTAGGTCTTACTTATGCCTTCATACAACCGGCGTACTTCCATACTCGAAGTTTCCGAATCATCTTTCTCCGCTGTCGTGTCTGTTAACCTCAAAATCGGACACTTCTTCCCTATGGTCTGTGCGACAGGAGAAGTATTAAGAATCCGTACCACAATTTCCTTTTTCTTATGGGGAGAGTTAGGTGGTATAGTAACCACAGATCGAGCGACACATATTCCAGGGGTGAGGGGTAGTGGTTCACAAACTTTTATGCCTTCATAGACGCGCGTTTCTACTTGGACACGCAAGTCGCAACCTTGAAAAGCCGGTATTACCAATTTTTTCCTCATCCTTACTAGGCTAGGATTTTTGAAATTATTATCCCACCCGGTTACTTCAACTTGGTTCAAGCTTCCTTGGTCATAAGGAGGGGTGACTATTGCTGATTCCTGTTTATTGAGAGAACTGTGGTAGGAAACCTCCTTATTATCAGTATACAAACTCTCGGCGGCAGCTGTAGGAATCTTCAACGAGGCAGGTACCTCTTCCAGAGGACACAAGTTGACAGAGTAGTGACAATGACTCCCTCTGTCAAAGAGGTGCGGGCTGGCATTACTATGCAACAAACCCTCATTTGAATTCTTCATATGGGTCTTATTCTGCCCTCTATTGATTTCAGAATCAATTTTCTTGCGAGTCTTATTCTGCTCGTCTTTATAACCCTCTCTTTCGGGGTGATTCAAATTGTTACCTCCGAACATCATAGTGTTACCTTGATTCTCTGGAACCCCATCTTGTTCCATAGCAATGAAGATTTTTACTGGAAATTCTTGTAATTCGGACGGCTGATATATTTTTTTAATTCATTCATTTTCACCATGCATTGGAATTTCGAATCCTTTCATTTTCATTATACTCCGACTGAAATCCATGATAGGTTGAAACTTATTCAAAAAATCTAAACCTATCAATCCATCGGTAGTGAATTTCAATTCATCTTTACACACAACAAATTCATGTGTTATACATTCCCGAGGAAACTGAAATTTTATTTTTACTGAACCCTTTTTATTCAGGACTTATATTTTTCTTGATTCTTATTGCTAACCTTTCTATACCTGTCCGAATAATAATGAATTTTATATACCTGCAAGAAAACCCTTATTCAATCAAAGCAGAATGATCGAATAATAAATATTGAAAATCAAATTGCCCTGTAAGAGATTTATGACACCACAACAATGATTCACCACAACAATCGACGCAATAGGCTTACATTTGTAGCCTCTAGACAGACGAAATAGAAAGATGCACTTTCTATTGACTCGGCGTCCTCTGGAGTTTCCTGAAAGAGATCAACCTTAGGCAAAGAAAACATGAAGAATATAGTTTTCATTTCAAAATTCTGACTGACTTAATTTTAGTAGGTACTCTTGAAATTTCAAATTGTCACACAAAAAAAAAATGATTATCTTCAAAACATTTTCCCCATCTTCTTCATTTGCCTATAGTTTGTTTTAATATACCACAGCCTTTTGGAAATCAGATTCAGAATATTTTTGTGTTTTTTCTTTCATTTATCTATTCATTATCCCTGTTTTTGCTTCAAAGTTTATTTCTTTATCAAATTTATTACTTGACGAAATTCCGTCATATGTCAAATTCCTTAGATAATTATGACTGTAAATTGGAGTTTAATCTGTTCACAGGTCATGATTATTTATTCTCATCATCATAACTCTTCAATTCTTCGCCAATTTCGACTATTCTCATGAATACTTGATTCACTTTTCATCTCAAATAAAAATATAATATCATAATTAAATATCTAATTTAAATCTGAATTCCACTAATTTCGCTCGGCTCACCATTACTAGAAAACACTTGCTCTTTTTTTTTACTTGTATTTATATCTTCATTGAACTTGACCTAGATTTCTTGTTCATTCATTATATTATAGACTTGACTAGGAACACTGGAATATGAACACTTCAACAAGAGGGAAAACACAAAAATCTTGAAAATACCTTCATGCTCTTGATTTGTTCTACGATATCATTATCAAATTCCAAAAGAGCAAATGCTTCTACAATAGAATACATCCAAAATCCATCCATCTACTATTTTCCTTACTTCAACTAAAAATTCACCTATATTGGTAGCTTGTATGATTAATAATTCTAAACTTATTGGAGTGGGTAAATGGATTTATTCTATTCACGATACACTGTATCGGAGTTCATTTTCAATTTCATCGCTTGTGAATTTTCCTCAGTTTTCCTAGTTAAATTATTTATTCACATCAATGGCCAATCTACATTTCCTTGAGTGAAACAGGCTAAATTAAATCTTATTCGCTGAGGAGAATTCATTCTAGCGTTGACCATGTTTACACCAGCCTTGCGTATCTTTTTCACCCATATTTGTATTTTTAACGACAAAATTTCGAAATTGAAAACACAATTCTGCGTGTAATCAAGAAATTATGTGACAGATACTCTTGAAATAATTGAATTCAATCATATTACGTAATCCAATCAATGTTTCATTCAATTTAATGAAAAACGTCCTAATTTGATCCTGATTGAATTTTAATTTTGATCCAACAAAAATCCTGATTTATTACCGGATTGAATTCTATTTTCATCCCACTAAAATTCTGATTGAAAATCCTACCAGAATTATGATTGATAATCTACCAAAATTCTGATTTTTTTTTAATCCTACCGACTGCGCCAATTTGTAAGAAGGGTGGACTCTGATGAAGATACTCTATCCTCGAAATAAACTAATTAAATTAAACCTGTCTTAGGTCCACCTTCTTAATAATATTTATTTCCTTCATCTACTGATTTTCTTTGCCGAACGAGACAGGTTAGGCAAGTAAGGTCCAATAAGAATACGCTTGAGTTGGCTCGTAAACATTATCAATGAAATTCCACTTACCTTTCGACTCTCAGAAGGGGTGACAGCTCTCTGGGCTCAGCTATCGCTTCTGCGGGCTATCGATTACCTCGAACCGTCACACGTATAAACACTTATCTGGTAACTCTTTGCCTTTATTATATTATATAATCAACTTTTGACTTATATCAGAAGAACTTCTATTAAATTTACTTTATTGTTCACTTCTGGAAGAGAAGTGAGTAAGTTCAGCAATAAAAGAATAAATAAAACCTCAACGATCTATTTAATAATTATCAAAATAAACAAATAATGAAAAGACAAGTAAAGAAAATATGACTCGATGAGGAAATGGCTCCTATATAACAAAGCAAATAAATGAACAAGAGATAATTATGATGATTACAGCTATCCTGACTGAGTTGAAATCTATCAGACTAATATTATCTTAACCAGTCAAAAGGAAGTTGATGGTTTAAAAATGTATTTCACTTTAAAATTTAGATGTTCTAAGCAGTACGGAAGGTACTAACCTAGTTGAGTTCAGACTCTGAAAACTCAATGAATTTACAAGATTCCAATGATTACCAGAAGGGAAACTTTATCAATATCAGAAAAAATACAATCTGTGAGAGATTTACCAGACACTGAATTCACGCACCAGAACACTAGGCAAGCAGGATGAAATTCAAAATTGAACTAACTTTAAGACTTTTCTAAAATCCCTATCTGACTCTAATTTCGTCTGTTCATTCCCGTTATGGGTGGAAACTTGACTTGGTTGGATGGTATCAACCAATCGTGATAGACTTTTCTCTCTAGGGGTGTATACTATTCCTTCCTTCTCTTTTGACCAGCTTCAGATACTTGACATACAAATAATTTATGTTTTCGCAACATGTGGGGACTTCTTCGAAATTCTTAAGTACCCTCTGCAGATATTCACAAAATAAAAATAAACTATATATGTTTCTCGAGAGCCCTCACTTTTGACGTGTTTATTATGCTACATAAATTGCCCTATTCAAAAGATAAACTCTCGAGTTTCCTAGCCTAAACTAATACCATTTCCTTGAAATAATAAATGTCAACTAATTGATGGGTATGCAAAAGATCGCTTCTCTTAAAATTATATTCACGACGTGTGGTTTCTATTCACATCTATAGGGAAAAAGGAAGTATCTCCAATAAAAAACCCTATACCAACACGACTTTTATGCTTAAACTAACAATACCTACTTGACATATCCTGGAGTACCCCATTCAATAAGACTTATTGATGCAGAGAGTGAAACTTTTACGATAATTTTGGAATAGGAGCTGAACCACGGGTGGTCGAGAATTATGGTCAATAGGACACTATTAGCAGTTTATGATAGCTATATATTTCGAAATAGAAAAAAATTAGGCATGAATTGAGTGTGGCCCTAGTTAAATTTAATGACTCTCGATTTCACTTTCAGACCGATTTCTTGAAAATGAATTCTCAGTAATTTGAAATGGAAAAGATACAACTAATTTCATTTAATCACTAAAGTCCAATGGAAATCTATATTAAATTATGAATTGAATAATTCGCATTCTTACACGATTAAAATGACGATATTTTTTTTTCAGTCATTTGTGCATATTTCCACAGCCTATTCAAACTGCCTTCAGAAAACGATAGGTGAACAATTTTATGAACCAGTTATCTCAGGAAAAAATTTACTTTCGCTGCTAGACTGTTTGGATGACGAGCAATTGGATGCTATCACCCCTTCGTAAGTATGAATAGGGATGGTTAAAAATGGAACACCAAAATATTTCAAAAATTTTTAATTGAAAGTCAAATGTCTCCAAATTGAAAATCAGATGTCTTCTTGATTAGGTAACAACAAATCCATCACATTGTGTAAATAACATCAAAAAAATTCAAGGAGTGATTCCTCGCGATATTTTACGAAATAAAGTTCATATGAACATGTGTCCTAACTAGCTTCGTTTTCGTATTAATATTCCAATGAAGAATCGTTTTTTTATTCATTACTCAACTGCCTTCTCATGAATTTTGATAAAACGTTGTGGTTTTTTTAATAGTAATATGGAGCTTCTTCTGGTGCAGTTAGATAGGGAATAATATTTCCAGTGGCGTCACAGTTGGTAAATTTATCGGTATATATGGTGAATGTAATTGTACGCTACCGGTTTTTTTAATTTCCATATTTTTATTAGATTAAGCTATTGAAATAACAACTTTTTTCATCCTATGTGTGATTTTTGTATTTGGCATAGTTTTCGAGGAAACAATAAAATTTTGATATGAATCCAAATTTACTGTAGGTGTTTTCAAGACTTTCATTCAATAACCCCAATTATAATCATTTTGAAATTTTGGGACTCTCTCAGTCTCCAACCATACTGAATTTTGGCACCATGAAAGCTTTTACATGGGGGTTATAAATAAAAACAATAAATACTTTCAACTTCGACATCCTGTAGCTCAAAAACGGAGCAAGTTAGGACACATGTTTATATGAACTTTATTTGCTAGAAACACCCCTCGAACTTTCTCTGTGTTATTTAGATACTAGATAGATAGTATACTATAAATTAATTTGAAAGAAATGAGAGAATATCTAAAAAAAACTCGAAAAGAGAAAGAATTCAAAATACTTTTCAATTGTTCTTCAGATCAATTTTGATCAGTTAAAAAACAAAATGAGAACACGAAACTGAACCATATATAACATAATTATGTGATGAAGGCTTGGACAAAAATTCAATTTTCAATTAGAAGACATTTCACCTAGAGCCTAAAGGAAATTTCGCCTGTATTTTTCACTGTGCGAAAATTGTTTCTAGGTTCCTTGTCCCTCCTTGGTATCCACTGCAATTACGCCTCTGGGTTTGAGCCCCACCAAAATTGGAGAGCTAACTTCGCCACTGAATTTTCTCTCATAGTTTCATTAAATGAAACTATCTCTATGAAGTTGATGAAGATTATGTCAACTACTGGTTGAATGGTGATCATGATTTTCATCGACCAAGGGATACTGACTCATCTTTTTATTTTAGCGAAATAATTAAGAGATTCCCTAATTCCCTCAAATTTTTTTATCTGATCCGAATCAACAAATATCACTCATAACAGTGAATAAGTTTAGCTCAGTAAAACGGTAACGATTAGGATCCAATCCGGGAAAAAAATCAAGTAGATAGTCGGTTTCTCTGTGGTTTTATATGTTATTGGAGATGCTGAATTTGAATCTGAATTTTGCAAACAAAATTTCCTCTTTTAGTTTTTTTGCCCGTTACTCGAAAATCATACATTATATCAAAAAGACCGCCCTCTAAAAAGTTGAAGTAGATAAAATTTCCTAGGTAAAATTGTTCTTGCTCATGAATGTAGGACTGAAGGGTGCGGAGATAGAGCCAGTTGAAAATTGACCAAATTTGGGTACTTTTCAAAAAACAATTCACATGGCTAGGACTCTTCCACATCAGGTAGTATATATTGTTCGCTTCTTCGAGGAATGCGTAGATTTTGAATTTTCTGCGAGTACCGACGAAAAACGCTATTTTTTGAAAAGTACGCAAATTTGGTCAATTTTCAACTGGCTCTATCCCCGCACTCGTTAGTCCTACATTCATGAGCAATGATATATTATATTTAGGAAATTTTGTCTACTGCAACTTTCTATAGGGCGGTCTTTTCGATATAACGTATAATTTCCGTGTTACGGGCAAAAAACCGAAGAAAGTCCGAAAATTTTGCTGTTTTTGCGAATATCTCGGAACGCTCCAGGATGTTTTGTTTGCAAAATCCAGATTCGAATTCAGCACCTTCAAAAACATATGAAACCACAGAGAAACGGAATACTTGAATTTTTTCCAAGTGAAAATACCATTTGATTGGACTAATTGAAAATAAATTGTTATGTGTGATTTTGTTGATATTGTCAAATTGCTATAGGCACCAATTTTATATTTTAGTAAAAATTGTCATTTCCATCTGGATGCTGATCTGATCAGCGTACTAATTTAATGAAAAATCTGACCACAACAATTGAAAGCCAATGGAAGCAATGAAAATAGACTTCAATTATTGATTATTTTGTTTTAGATTACTGGGAAAATGTCCTAACACCTATACACTCACGAAAAGCGTAGCAGAAAGCCTGATCAGAGAAGAAGCCAAAAATTTGCCAATTGCAATTTACAGACCATCGATAGGTTGGTACCCATGGTGAACTATATTATTTATATGAAATTCAGGAGTTCCTTTTTTCGAATAGAATGTTAGATAGGTACGTCCATTTTTATTTTGGGCTGCGGGTTTTTCATGAATAGGTTACGACCATGAATTTCATTATACCAAACGGATACAGGGTAGTCCAAAGAATTGTTTACATTTTGAAATGAGATGAAAAAACAAGTTCATCAATAATTTTAACAAATATGATTTCAAAATGTACACACGGTCCTGGAAATTCATGTTCTGTAGATTACATTATATAAATGTGCTTTGTTTCTGTCCTGGCACTCCTGAAGCTTGCCTCCCTTTGATTTTTTATGAGGTTATCTTGAAAGTCAAGTGAACCGTAGTCATCCCTCTACTCTGGAGGATCTAAAGAAATAATTTCAATCGTTCTTAATAAAAAATATCAATTTTTCCTTGAATGATTGTTTGAAATGACTGTTATCACTTGCTACACTTCTCTTACCGATCCAGACTTCGTGTATACGTACAGTCGTCTTCAGAGAACATGTCGCCCATGGACGGTGTTAGCCCTCTTAATCACCGCTGCAGTAAGAGCGCTCATACCGTCCAACCGCGACATGTTCACTGAAGACGAGTGTACCTCTGGTTCTTCCTGCATAATCATTTAATTCTTCATAATTTTGGTTAGGCTATATCGATCGTGATGTATAGTAAAATTGGGAATGAGAAGTTCTTTAAGATGAATCTGAGAAAAACATGGGGATGCAATTCGAAAAACCAAAGTAAGGTGTGGTATCTAGTTGATTGTTCGACAGAAAAGTGATTTCATCTCACCATTTCGGAGAGCTTTTACTCCTATGGATTCCACAATAATAATGAACGAAAATGGCATTCTTGACATGGCATTCTTGACCGCTATCTGGTGCGAACCTAACCCAACGTAAATGCATCTAAGCATTTATACCCGACGAGGCGTTCACCGTCCGGGAGATGAACGTGAACGCTCGAAACCGGCGCAGGAAGGAAACACTCGCCATTTTATTCGTCTAAACGAATTATTGCATAGATTTCCAGAGGATTTAATTCAATGTTCTGCGTGGCATATATCCAGGAAAGTGATTACCACTTCCAAGTAATTAAAACCTATTAAAAATAGTCCAAGAATGATCCCTATGGTAGTTACTTTTATTGATGAGAAAGTGGGGTTACCACTTTGAAGCTTAGTACGGCATAGTAACCAACTTTTTTCCAGTGGTGGGGACAGCGAAAGAACCAGTGGCGGGCTACATCGACAACGTGTACGGGGCAACTGGGGTCTTTCTAGGGGTGGCCGTTGGTCTCCTTAGGGTTCTCAACTGCCGCGAGACCAACCACGCTGATATCGTTCCTGCCGATTACGTCATCAACGGATGTTTAGCAGTTGCTTGGGAGGTCGCGACGACGAAGTAAGTCGTACAAAAACGAACTTTTTTGTATTGTTTCATATGCATTAGTTGTGATACACTGCAACCTAGAAGATCTATTGCCCCCATCCCCCCCTTCTCTTGCTATAGAGGAAGAGGTTGTTCTCCGTTGCTATAGCAGTTTCTCAAGCCCTATATCCCTCATAAATTTCTGGATATAGGTAGCTCCAAGGATTGTTTTGACTGCTACACTTATTGTAGGGATCCAGTCTATAGTGTTGAATACAGAATCTGAGGATACAGAATTTTGCACCAGTTTCGTTTGCCAAAATAGGATATTTCCTGTTAGTTATTTACTATATCGAGACGGTAAATAAATCTGGAATATTCAACCGGAAGTATAACAGTATATTCTCCACTGACACTGTACACAACATTTACATTAAAAATTGTTGGTTTCAACTATCTTGTTGGAGGTTCAACCATGATTCTAGAATAATTAAGGTTTGACTCCAAAGTTCTATCCGCCAGAACATATTGAATGAGTTTCAAGACCAAACGTCTAAAATGGAATGAAATCAAATTCGAGATACCTGTCAATCTGTCATTGGCAATCATTTACTCAAATACGTGCAGCAATCAACAAGGGTCTTGTGAACGGCATCACGTCAAATCTGTGTCATATATTAATGTATAGGGGATGAACCATCCTGTTGAGTTAACAATCCTGGGGGTATAGCTCCTCTTCCTCTATAATGAGTGCTCCTACTGCTCCTAGGTTTTTTATGCCCTTGGGTTCTGTAGGGTCAACATGACACATTTCGAAAGAAAGTATGTTGATAGAGGTCTCCTCCTCTTTCCCACAGCACCTGCTATAGTCGTCCTTCTCTTTCAAGCCGAGCCTCCTTAAATCTATTTTCAACCGGCAGTGCCCTGTTAGTATACGAAGTTCATTTTGACTTAGGCTGACATATGCGTTCGATCTTTTGTGGTTATGTTCACCCAGTAGTATTTTAGGCTGTCTGAGACCTTGAAGATTTTCACAGATGTCTGATCCCTACTACTTTTCTAATTTCTTCATGAAGGATGTTTGAGCTGCTTTCCTAGAGCTACTTCATTTCCTTCTACTCCGGAATGTCCCGGGACTCATAGAAGGGTGACTGTATTTCTGTTGGCTAGCTCGTTCAGTTTTTTGCCAGGCATTCCCAAACCATTTTAGAACTGATAACCGCGGCGCTTTAATGGTTGAGAGCTTTTTTCTAGATTCAACTGTACACATTGTCCCTATAGCATGAACTTCCGCCTGAAATATGCTTGGGTTTTTGCCAAGGCTTTCCAAGGACTTCATACGAAGCCCGTAGTCCTATTCCAGTTTCATCTTCGGTTTTGGAGCCATCTCTGTGTACCACTTTACTGCTCCTACTTTGAGCTCAATACCAATCATGGATTACTGTTTCTTTCTTTTTCACAGCTCATTCTGGTGGTGAATTATTTCTCAAAACTTTTTTACGAATGTGTGGAAAAGTCCTTTTCACCGTACGAGGCAGCTGGACTACTAATAATTTTCTCTCACTCAGAAACAATCACTTATTGGCTTGGTATTACTATCAGCAATAACCTTTCTTGGGAAAATCACGGGAGATCAATTGCTAAAAGTGCATCCCAAGATCTTGGTTTTCTGTTTCGGGCCAGGAGCTATTTCACTTTCAGTCAGCTGCTTATGATCTATGAGGCACAGATCCGATCTGTCCTGGAATACTGTTCCCATATTTGGAGTGCAGCACCCTGAAACTGTTGGATTCTGTCCAAAAAAGGGCAATTCGTCTCGTGGGTGATGCCTCGCTCACAAACTCACTCACTTCTCTGGAACACCGAAGAAATGTTGGCGATCTGGCTCTATTTCATAGATGTTTTCATGGACGATGCTCTTCTGAAATATCAACAATTGTTCATCCCTTGGCAGTCCCCGCGAGATTAACCCGTCGAGTTGAGGCTTCGCACCCCTTCGTGGTTACTTTGGAAACCTGCAGAACATCTCTTTCCAAATACTCGTTCATCCAACGGGTAGCGAGGCTCTTACACATTGCCAAGGGAGGTGTTCCCCGAGGCAGAAATTCAAGAAGAACACCAATTCCTACCTCATTTTCCTTGGTTCTTACGATGTTCTCTGAACATTACAGGATATCCCTTTTCGTGGGAACCAGAACATAAAAAAATTATTGTAATAAGGGTTGACTTGCTATACAATATCTTATTAATCTATTGTAGTAGTCCATGTTGTCTCGAGGTGGAGTGAAGTAGTTCATATAGTAATGATATTTCGAGTATTATTACTGTATGAATATCTTTTTAATTGTATATTTCCCAAGATATTGAAATTACCTGTGCCTCATCAACTTTTAGAGCATTAAATGACAACAAAGAAATACAAGACGAGAAAAGCAAGAAATACGAAAAATTGGAGAGGGAAATTCCAGTATACAACTACGTCAGTACACCAGAAAGGCCCTTGACATGGCGTAAGTAGTACTAAAATAAAAATGAAACTGAAATTATTGGAGGCAAAATAATGATTTTTTTTTCAAAAGGCTTGTATTTCCTGACATTTTTTTCCAGAACTCCACTCGAACTGAATATTGTTTCCATGTTTCCTCAAGATCAATGAAGGACAAATAAAGCACCATTGTAGAATATACAAGGCGAAGGAAAGAAAGGAAAAAAATCTCATTTCAGTAAATAAAATCAAAAAATGATATTTTTTCTGTGACGGGAAAAAGTTTGGCATTTCATCTCTGTTGGCAGGTTATAAAATGTCACTTTTCATAAATTACTTTTTTCCCGTGGGAAAAAAGTGAGTACTTTTTTCCCGGATATATATCACATATATATACTCTGTTAATGGCTTTTGTTGTGCTATAGTTCCGAAAAATGAGTCAATAATACCGTCTCCGAGAAAGAACTGCAAGTCCTTTTATCTTCCATACGACTTCGCGGATTCGTATATTACTAAACAACTACTGAATTCGCAATTTTTCAAAATCAAATCACAGAATTGAACTGACAGAAGTGACATCAGATATTTGATTACTTCAAAAGAATGATAAAGATGTCTCTAAAACGCAGGTGTCCCTACTGTTAAGAACTTGAAATTTCACGTAGATAATTTTCAGATTTCGAAATAATGTGATATCTTCTCAATATTGATTCGTCCTTCCTTCTGTCACAGAAAAAAATAGTGTATTATACACGGGAAAATTATTAGATTTTAGCTCACGGTTGTTTGTCTGCCTTCGCTACGCGTCGGGAGACAACACAACCTGGAGCTAAAATCCACTACTTTTTTCCCTTGTATAATAAATAACTATTAAAAACAGCATTCTCATTATTATAATGGTAGGATTATTGAGGGAACAGTTTTAAGCAAACAAGGAAGCAATTATGGAACATAGCCCTCATAAAAACTTATCCGTAGACACGTGTTTCGTGCTTTCGGCATTCGTCTTCCACCAAGTGTTGCCCTTCTTTTGCACAATACAAAATTTGGGGAGAAATCAAGAAAACGTCCCAGGATGCAGTACATATGTATCCTGATATGACTGACTTTTAATCAGAAAACATTTCCTCGAGTTCGGCAGCATCGCAAATGTAGACCATGTAGGTTTCTTTGAAGACGATGTATGGAAATCTGTCAATTTCCTCAAAAAATACAGGTTGACGAAAAAGAGTCCAATTATGAGTGGCCCATTTAGTGTGTTGAGAATCTCATTTCTACAGATTCCAAGTAAGCGAATGTTCCTAAATTTATGTTTTGTTCTAGAAAATTTCCATTCACTGAGTGTAAAAAACGCTAGCCAAGTACCATCAGATAAAGTCATATGGCATGCAGATTTCAGGATGGTGGAAAATAAGACTTATTACTCTATCCTAGTTTTCCTCTTACACACGGTGCCAGCTTACGTGGTGGATTTCATAGCATATTGTTTAGGAAAAAAGGGCATGTAAGTACCCAACACTATAATTTCGTCGCACCCCAAAACTTTGCCCGCGTTAAAATGTTCGAAATTTCATCTGTGTTGACAGGTTATAAAATGTCACTTTTCATAAATTACTCTCTTACCCACGGTAGAAGATATCGATTAATAGTTATTTAACCAACTATAGTGTATCAATGAGGGCGATTAATGATCGAGATATTTTAAGGTGCGAGCAAAGCGAGCGCGTTAATGTTCGAGATCATTAATCGCCTTTTAATATACGAGTTGGTTACAAAATTTTTCTGTCGACTGTATTTCTCATTTCTCCTGCAATGAAGAAAACTTGGTTCGCGAAGTCATCATTCATCCGGAAACTACTAAGAATCACCTACTAGCCTTGTTACTGACATTAGTGACATTTGACATTTGTCGAAATGATCAACGTAGGAAATAATAATTCCTTGTGTTAGAAAACAGGGATTAAAATCGTTTCAGAAACTTGGAAAGGCGAACCCGTTAACGGAAAATCCTCGATGAAATCCATATTTTCGATTTAAATGCAGAATCCGTAAGTTAAAGCATAAACAATGAATGCACGTGGTGTATGTTTGGTTGCCTATAAAACAATCGTGCATTTATAGACAAATTGATCTTTAATAGGGGTCATTATTGAACGATTTCATGAACATTAAACTTACTCGTTAATATGAGGTCGACGGAATAAATAATACTATTTTTTTAGAAAAAGGATAAAGAGGAATCAGACGGTGGAAGCAAAATGTCGAATTTGTCTTCTTTCAATGTGTCCCATCCTTTATAAAACATATAATCACTGAACAGCTTTTGAACAATTTGAATTCGGATAATCTCGTACATTTGTGAAACTGTGAAAAATTTCGGAATTTTCAAACGGATCCCAAATGAACAAAAACTTTTCTTCAATTTCGATAGCAGAGGCATGAAGATGATCTCATTACCTAGGGATATTTTTCAGATTGTCTTGTTCTCTGTTATTTACAGAGTGATCTCAAAAAATAAACTTTCTGGTTTTGCAGTCATAACTTTTTTCCTTGTCAACCCGTTTTTAAAATCTCATTTTGAAGCTGAAACTTCAGATCAAGAGATAGGAAGATCAGAATTGACTCAAGATGAACATTATACAGTGTGTCTCACGTCTAATGGAAGCACCCCTGTATGTTTCGTAATTGTCGAGTTAGGATTCTGAAACTTATAGTGTATATTTCCAGTATATCTACCGCTCTTCCAAATTTCAGAAGCCTAACTCAATAATTACGAAAGATACAGGGGTGCTTAGAAGTGGGACACACTGTATAATGTTCATCTTGAGTCAATTCTGATCTTCATATCTTTCCATCTGGAGTTCAAGCTTCAAAATGAGCTTGAGATTTCCAAAATCGGTTGAAGAGGAAAGAAGTAATGACTGCAAAACGGAAACGTAAATTTTTTAAGACCACTCTGTGAATAAAACAGATAAGGAGACAATTCGAGAACTGTCCCAAGATAATGAGATCATCTACATGCCTTCAATGCCAAAATTAAAAAAAAAATATTTCTCCATTTGGGATACTTTTGAAATTTTCGAAATTTTGCACAGTTTCAGGTAACACCCTGTAGCGATTTTATGTGAAAAACCTTATGTTCAAAAGAATTACGAGATTATAGCTGAAGAACTGGGCTAGCGAAAAGTGTGATCCGAATTCAAATCGTTCAAAGCAGAAAAAAGTTATTCATATTTCAACAGAGGCAAAATTTTGGGGTGCGACGAAATTAGTGTTGCGTTAGAAGTGAGACACACTGTATAATTTTCATCTTGAGTCTATTCTGATGTTCATATCGCTTCATCTGAAGTTTAAGCTACAAAATGAGCCTGAGATTTCAAAAATCGGTTGACGAGGAAAAAAGTTATGACTGCAAAACCAAAGAGTTAATTTTCTGAGATTACTCTGTAGATAAAAGAGATAAGGAGACAATTCGAGAACTGCTTCAAGATGATTAGATCATTTACATGCTTCTTCTGTCAGAGTTGAAAAAAAAAGTTTTTCAGCATTTGGGATACTTCTGAAATTTCCGAAATTTTGCACAGAACAAATTTTAGAACAAAAGCAGAAAAAAGTTATTCATTTTTCAACAGAGGCAAAGTTTTGGGGTGCGACGAAATAAGTGTTGCGTAGTTTATATTTTCGTTCAGAAATGATCACTTTTTTGAGTTCAAATTTGAATTTGATCAAATTTCTGCAATATGTCAAATTATCAGGTATATAGGTACTAGAGCAAATCTTTCTTGTCCTATTGAATAGTCAGCAATATCAAGGTGGAATGAATCATGTTGTCCAGTTTGCTGATACCCCAATGACAAACATTTCCCCGAATAATTCCAGGTTGATCAAGGGCTACCAGAAAATCCACAAATTCACCAATGTGTTAGCCTTCTTCTGCCTCAACGAGTGGACCTTCAAGAACGACAACACCCAGTCTCTCTGGAAGCGATTGAAGCCCCAAGACAAGGAAATGTTCGAATTCAGCATGAAAAGCCTAGACTGGGACGAGTACTTCCTAACTTTTTCCAAGGGAGGAAGGGTGTATATCCTGAAAGACCCTCTGGACACTATTCCCAGAGGGAGAATCAAGTATTGGAAGCTGTTCGTGGCACACTACGTGCTCAAAATGGTTCTCTTGTTTCTGTTTTACAAACTAGTTATGTTTATTTATGGTTGTTTATTTAGGTAATTGTTGATTTTATTATTTGAATATAGAATTTTATTTTAAAAAACAGATGGGGACAGTTTTCATGGAGTTTATCGACGATAAAATTTCACTTATTCTACAATGGAACATCAATGATGGAACATGATTTTTGAGCTGGATCTTTTGGCTTTCAAGACAAGGATTTGTTCGACTTCATTTGCTAGAATATCACAAGGATTCGGTGTTATTCAGATACACCCTGTAGAATGTTATTGAAAAAAAAAAACAGAAACGTATAAAGTTTTCATGGAATTGAATAAATCGACGATCCAACATAATTTGGAAGATATTGATGATTATTCTTATCGAATATTTGCAAGTTAATAGTTTCTTGGAGTAGAGATGACTTTGTGAACAGAGCCAGGGGCGGATCCAGGGGGTGGCCATGGGGCCATGACATCCCCCCCCCCAACGGGAAATGAAAAAATTAGACAAAAAACAAGCTAACGATGTTGTTAGTATCACTCTTCTGGCGCATCAAAATAAAAGGGATGATATTCTAAATAATATCTAAGTATTTCGAATGAAGCCAAACAGAAATTAAAAGAACTGAATGTTGAATTTTCGATGCCGAAAATAACAGGGAGACTGGTTCATAGACCGAATCCTACGGTTTCCTCAGTGACCATTACATAATAACTGTTTTCATCCCAGTATTATCCTTGATCTGAATGATGGACTATCAGAAAATAAATTGAACCTATACATTATACAACCTTCACCTTTGTGTGCCATCAATAACTAAAAACAAAACAGATGAGGAAATATATGAGGTATGAGAAATATACTTGAACAGTTTCGGACCATTGATGAATGATGAAATGTCCTTTCAGAAGATCGTTTCTGAAATGTTTATATGGAAGAAAATGAGGGATACCAAGCAAAATATACCAAACAATGGTATAACTGCCCTGAAGGAATGTAACAAACATTTGTTTCCTAACATAAACATTCTTGTGGAACCATTATGTTGCCTGCCTGTAAGTGTTGCATCTTCTGAAAGAAGTGTTTCAACACTCAGAAGGCTGAAAGATTGGATAAAATCCAGATTGGTCCAAGACAGGTTAAATGGATTGGCATTGATGCATATTCATAGGGGCGCAGCAGTCTGAATGTTGATGATAACATCAAAAGATACGCTAGGCAGAAGAATAGAAGACTGGAATTTGTTTTCCTTATTTTATATATTTTTATTTTTGTCTTTTTAATTCGTTTTGTTTTTGAAAGAAATATTTTTATTCACTTTTGAACCCAAGTTCTTCAAGAGAAATAATCTAATATGATTTATTACAGAATTTACATATATTGATGGAATAAAAGTTTGAACTTGTTATTTTACACCAGTAATTTCGATACTTGAAAGGAAACTGAAGATTTCATGTTTACTATAATCATTTTTTTTTAATGAAAAAGCATTTGTCTCAGCAGGTCACCATTTAATTTCTCTTCAGCGCTAACCTTATTGATCCGTGACTTTCTATGCCCCTCCAACTTCGTCTGGATCCGCCCCTGAACAGAGCAAACCCCAGCTGAATAGTTAACCTTTTGACAGAAATCGCATAACCGATCATACCGGTTCATTCACCAAAACTTATGATGGCGTGTTCGCCAATTTATAGACTCGCAACAAGTAAGAAGCAACTGGACGCAATTTTTTTTTCTCTCCAAATGACATTAAAAGTGGTTTTTCTATGACACTCAACAGGCAGAAAAGGTGTTATTCCTCTGTCTAGGCAGACAAAGTTTGTTGCTATGCAACGGGCTAAGTAATAATTTGATCACATTGTCAATCAAAATGATTGGCAATGGCACAAAATGACGGATCATTTGAATTTTGCCTGAAATTGGTATACGAATTTAGAGAAAAAGATGATTTGTTTCACATGGCAGCCATGTGGCTAGCTTGGCTATAAAAGGACAGCCATGGCACTAAATCTTGTGCTTTTCAATCTCGTTTTCCAGAGTATTTTTTTTTATCGCTTGGAGCGCACGAATGGGAATCCCTGTTCAAAGAACATCGTGCGTTCCTAGGGAGGAAAGGGATAGGAGGTAGGTATTGGAATTTTTTTTGAACTTCTGGAGATTATATGTTGTTGGGAATACTTCCTCAGGCAATGAATTCCAGAGCCTAGCCGTTCTATGGATGAAGGAGTTTTGATAAAGTGCTGTTCGACATCTTTATGAACCTGACAATTTCCTTCCTTGTTTTTGCTTTCAAGGGCTTGTTACCATAGAAAAAAAACTGGACATACTGTATACAGGGTGATTCTCCAAGGTGGCTCACCCCTATCACATTTTAATTATTGGAAGTGGTGAAACGAAATTTGGGGGTTGTGGATTATAGATCAATTGAGATTCTTTGACATATCTACTTGCTTCACAATATATCCGGTTTGACTAAATTGCGCCGTCACACCCATTTGAAACAACCTAACAGATTATGGAATAAAAGAATTATAGGGTATCCCATTTGAAAATCGTGATACTAAATTCAGTAATAAAAAATCAACAGGGGTGAGCCATCTTGGAATATCACCCGGTATATTATGATTCGATAGGTATAATATAGGTCCAATTAATGAAAGAGATTGTTATATCAGCAAAAAGTGTTTCTCGGTAAGCTCAAATAACAGATAATGACCGCCTTGATGGGTTTATTACTATAAAAAAGTGACTGATGGCCGAGTAATTTTTACAAAAGCCTGAGGTTTATCGTAAAGCGAGGACTAGTCTGATGTCGAAAGACAACATTATTGGCATTTTGTTGCATTTTTAACATTGCCGGTAGTGAAGCATCTGCTTATGTTTCAGATGAACCAAATACAGGGTGTTGACAAAGAAAACTAGCCGAAAAAAGTAACAGTCTCAGCATTGAATGTTCCACTATTTGAAAAATTGCGGGAAACGTCAAACAAAATGAAAATCACTGGAGAATCAATTGTTTTCACAATAGAAAACTGATCCGAGATATTACAAACAAACAAAAATTGAAAAGTAGCTTTATGAAACAAATGGCATACAAAATATTCATACCATGTCTCAATTCACCTGAATTTTTGTCATGTGTCATCATTCAACCATATAAAATGTCGATCACTGCTCTACCAAAACTCGTTCGTCTATAGAACGGCGAAGCTCCTTTTCTGGGGAATACTTCTATTCCCAAGAACTTATAGCTCCAAGAGTTGAAACAATATTCCAACACTCATCACCTCTCTCTGTCCTCCCTAGGAACATTATAGGAATTTCCTTTCGTGCACTCCAAGAGATAACAAAACTCAATAACAGATCGATGCATATATTCGCTCTGAGCCCCCGGTATTTCCATATTTACCTTTTCGTACGTAAAAAGTTACGCCCTCTTCCAATTTCGACGAAATAAATAGGAGTATGTGATCATTATGAGATTAACGTAAGCCGCATTGGCATCAAACAATAACCAGTACTTTTCGAATTATCTTAAAAACAAATAATTTTATCGAAATTTCACAAGAAACAAAAAATACTCAAAAATGATTGAACACTTGAAGAAAAATAGATAGGAAGTCATTAGCGTACGTACAAAAAAAAAATATGGGGGTAAGTGTGTACTTATTGACCCCCAGTATTTTGAATATTTGACAGTTATTTTCTGTTATGTTTTCCTCACATGATGTAACTCTATCAAATACGCGAGTAATTTGAAAAAAGCAGTTTTTAATTTCCAACTTTGACACCCTGTATATCGAATAGGAAGGTCTAAAATGAAAAATAGTATTTAGAAACTCATATTGTTTTTGTTCAAGGAATATGTGGTTAATGGATTGACCTTCTTTTAGCGGACACCCTGTATTGTGCCTACATTTTTTTTATATCATAGATAAAAGTCGACATTTTGAGATGGAAGACGAAATTTCTATGGCAATAAAAACGCATCCTTAGAAACAGAAATGACATGGATCATTTCAATCGAAATAATAGGTTGCGAAAACAGTGCACAACTACAAAACTTCATTGATAAAAATATATTTGAAAGAAAATTCCCCAACTGCGAAGTACAAACACACCACATCCGGCAACACTGCGAGAGTCCCATCATAGCGGCACAAAGTTCATTTATTACATTTTCATTTCCATAGTAGGGGTGCGCTAGGTATATCACAATAAGGCTCAGCCATGCTCAGCTTAATTTTTTCAATTTTTGCCTCGAAAAAATAATGAATTTGAATTGCGAGTGCACAAACATAAGATGTAAGAACCGCACAACTAATAGATAGATTGATAGATCTTTATATAAAACAATCTAGAATGTATACTTATAAAATATGAAATGGACATATACAGATTGAAAACCAGATATTTATCCATTATAATAATAAATAAATGCAATGAAATTGAAGGCATATCTAAAGATGTGGTTGATAAGTATTCCTCGATTGAGTAGAGTAGAAGCACCCATCATTCAACAATAATTATTTGATTACTTTTTCAAATTGTATGGGTAGTAGTTGTCTGTAGTACTCTGGAAGTTCATTGAATAATTCAACGTTTATAGTGTTTTTGGAAGACGTTGTTAGTCTAAGTCTCGGATTTCGCATCTTGTTACAATTTCTGGTGTGATGTGAATGAACATTGTTTGGGGTAACTGAATTTTTGTAAGTTTTTCCGATAATAAATGAGACTTTGATAAATGTATATTGATGAGATATTGACAAGGGGGGGTACGTTCTAAGTGAGACACGCTGTATACACTGCATGATATTGAACAGTTGTCAGATTGGATCAGTATTCTTTGAAATTCCGACTCAAAAGTCGAAATTTTTATGAAAAATAGAATCAAAATGCCCGTTGCACTTATACGCTCCCGTAGAAACAGGAATGACTTGTATCATTACAATCGACTTTCTAGATTGCGAAAACAGCTAGTGCAAAAAGAAAATTTCCCCAACTGTGATACAAACACACCACATCCGGCAACACCGCGAGAGTCCGGTCATAGTGGCACAAAGTTTATTTACATTTTACATTTCGTTCCCGAAG